TCAGTCCTGAGTTAAACCCTGTTTTGAAATGTGCAGTCATATTGTTAAAGTTTAAAGACTTAAATTGTATTTTTCTGATGTTTTGAGTTAAAAGCTATTACTTGACATTGCCCGAGTGGCTCATTTGCATATTCTGGACTGAGGATGGATCGGGCTGCACGCCGCAGCGATACTATGATGATATTGCGCTTGGGCTGTAGGAGCCCCTCCGGAGTCTGAACCCCCACAGTGAGCGCGGGTACCCAAATGGATCGGGCTGCGCGCCACAGCGGTTATGTGCATTGCATTGCATTCATGCATTGGTTCCTATTTGTACTATGTGCCATGACATTCAGCACTCTCATATCATTGGCATCCACGCTACTTCTTGGACTGTTTACCAGATACCCTGGTGTTATTTGTTGATGGAGTGCTGTGCCCGAGGGGCCGACTTATGTGCGAACTTGCACTATCCGATTACGCATTCATTTGCTTGACTTTTGGAAAAGGATATTTTCAAAAGAGGTTTTTAAACTGAGCCAGATATTTTCTAAAGGATTTTTTCACGGTTTTACTGTTTTCTCAAAGAGTTGTACTGTCCTATATAGCATGATAGAGTGCTCTTACGTGATTTCTTGCCTCTCGGTTATTATTTACTCTTATTACTCACTGAATTGGAAGTACTCACTTTACTCCCTACACCTCGCGTGCAGTTGCAGGTATTGTTCACCGGGTAGCGGGTTATTAGCTGATTGAAGGTAGGGCTATTGTAGCTGAGCAAGGTGACCGCCAGCGTTCGCGGCACTGGATGTTGTCTTTTGATTTTCCAAAATTTTTCTTTATATATTATTATTGGCCCTGTAGTTGTGTTCAGGTTTCTTTAGATGCTTGTGACTTGTGACACCCCGGTCGGGTTGTGTTGGGTTGTACATACTGGTTACTATTGTCGTTAAGCTATATTCACCTATTCGTTTATGTTTAATAAATGTTAAAGAGATGATTTGGGTTAGTTGGCTGGCCTTGTCTTCACGAGAGGCGCCATCACGACCGGGTTTGGAAATTGGATCGTGACAAGTTGGTATTAGAGCCTAGGTTACTAGGTCTCACGAGTCATGAGCAGGTTTAGTAGAGTCTCGCGGATCGGTACAAAGATGTCTGTATTTATCCTCGAGAGGCTGCAGAACCTTTAGGAAAACTGCACATTCTTGGAATTCTTATCGTGCGTACTTGATTCAGCTTGTGATATAACTCTTGAAATTCCTTCCACATGTCTGTATGCGCACGTGAGCGCTCAGTATTATATGTGCCTCGATGGCTTGCGATTCCCCGATCGAGGGGCGAGATGTAATCTTCGTGAGTGTGTTGGGCCAGTCTGGAGGACATGAGGCCGGATCCTTGCATATGGCTTGAGCACCGAGGTGCTGATTGTGTGAGCAAGTGTTTGGAACTTATATGTTCAGTATTGCCCCTATTAGCCGGAATGGCGGTTTGGTATTCATGTGATGAGTATGTTAGTACTTTGAGATGTAATTATATGACTTGGTAGTGACGAAAAAGTCTGCAGGATAATAGATGAACTGTTAAGTGATTCGACTCCTATTGTGGATTGATGTGTAGCCCGAATTATGGGCGCATGAAGAACATTGTCGTACCTCCTAGTTGGGAAGTGAAGTGCATTGCATGCGGCGGTATGAGTTCGGACTCAGGAAGACTAATAACTGAGTAACGTATATGATGGTGAAAGGTATGCTGAAGTAATAAATTGAGGCGAAGCAGGGGTCATCTCCTGCGGAGTGTTCTTGAGTGGTATGGTCCTTACGTGTATGTTAGAAGATCTCATGTGTAATTGAAGGGTATGTGTTGAAATTTAAAAATTCGGGTCGCTTAAGAGAGTGGACTCAGTTGATGTGGGGATAAATGTGAGGGTTGTAGAGGATTTCAGTACTAGATGATCTGTGTTTTCACAAACTTGTAGATGATTTGAGTTTAATCTCACTATGACATTGTGGCATCATTAGAGTAAAAGTGTTATGAGTTGTTAAGTGTGTCTTGATATATGGCTTTGAGCCAAGTTGGGGAGGTTGCTGTTGATTAGCTGATTGCACGGTTATGTGCTATGTTGGTTACGTCTCGAGGTATGCTGGCGAATCGGTTCTAGTTGCAGAAATTGAGCCGAGGATGGGAGAGTGAAGCAAAAATTTCGACAAAGGTTATATTATGTTCCATAGGGTATTGATAATTTCGGAATGTCTAGAGTTGTTGTTGGTAAAGAATGCTCGGTGCATAGAGCAGGAAGTTGCTTGGTTGTATTGGGATGAGGGTCTTATTTTACGGTATCGGAGTGTCAATAAAGCACGAGTGGTTCTGTTCGTTAAATCAGGTAATTTGCAGATGAATAAGAGTGAATGACTCTCGAGAATGGTTTTAATGTGTTCAAGAATCTACATGTAGCCCTCAGGTGTTTTAAGGTGGTGTAGGTGACTAAAGACAGTGTTTTCAATAGAAAATGTCAAGACTTGTGGTATTTTATGTTGATCATGGGATCCTATGTGTCGATACCTGGAAAGTAAAGGAAGCGAATTTAGATTCGAAGAAAGTTCTCAGAGTGAAGTATTCTGGAATGTGGTATTTCTGGGAAACAATTGAGAGAGTATTTAGTGGCCTATGGGTCTTAGACAGTGTGGTCTTATGTTCGAGTCTAGTGTGGTAAGCTTGGATTGAGGCATTGTGATGCTACAGCGAGGGAGAAATATCAAGTGGATTATGAATCAAAAAGGGAAATTAGATAGATGGAATAGCTTGATAGTAGACCGAATCGGTATGGTAAGGATGTGATTAATTCTTCGTATGTGTTCGAGGTAATGGGCTTTTACAGGTATTGTGCAGCAAGGCTCTTGAGTTCTGACAGCTTGCTTAGCTTGGTTCGGGTAGAAGGATTCAGTCCTGGCAGTTTAGCTTGTGCAATGGAATTGGGGAGAGAGTTCTTGATAAGTTTTACCGTGGTTTAGAGACGTATAAATTGCCTATGGGCATGCGAAGCATGGAATGTGTAATGATTTCTCTTCTTGATGGGATTGATGGAGAGTTCTTGACTAGTGGAGTACGTAGATGTTTGTGGTTAGGAAGGGAGATGGAGTTCTCATGTTATACTAGTGTGGTATGGTATATGCGATATGTGGCGATATGTTGTGGAGGATTGGGATTTGTGTGTGTAAGGTTACGGTTCAGTTCATAATGGAAAGTCATTAAATTCTTAAGCAGCACGGGCAGTGCAGGTGATTAAAGAATCGATCTTCAAATGATTAAGGAAAATGGTATTGCCAACCATAGTGATTCGACGGGGGTATATGTTCCAGTAAAAGGGCAATGTGATGTAAACTGATAATACTTCGGTAGTGTTGCGGCATTTGGGATCGACTGTTGATATCTGAGTTTGTTTGATGGCACAGGGAAACTTTAGAATATCTTTCGTGGGATGATTGAGTACTTGAGGTGTGATATGTATTCGTACGGCGCAATTTGGGATCAGGTATAGTGATTTGTGTGCTATATGGAGTTGGAGACTAGGAGTTCTCTTGTTCAGGCTATGCAGTTGTTGTAAATCCTGTGTATCGGCACCGTCTAGCGGTTATTGGGAATTAGAGGTCCGAGTGGATCTTTTCTTTGCTTGGTATGCCAAATTTTGGATATAATATTGGATTGTAGGCTGGTTGTCTCAGTGTTGGGTTATTCTAGACTATTGTGCTACGGGCTAGGCCGGAAATGCCACGGGTTGAGCGGCAAGGTGCATTGGATTATGTTCTTGCAGAGTGGTATATATTTCAAAAGATGCAGCGGACGGCTGAGAAGGATTGCTTTTCTTAATGGGGCATTCGTGATGGATGTCAGTGCAGAGGTTTCTACCATTGATTCAGTTCCGGTATTGAGTGACTTTTCGGATGTGTTTTTTTGTGGCCGGGCATGTCGCCGGGTAAGATGGCGGATTTCGGTATTTATTTGGTGCCGGGCACCGTATCGTACGGCTCTGGCAGGAGTTATAGTAGTGGAAGGAGCAGCTTCAGGCTTCTTGGTATTGAGTTTGTTGGCAGGCCAATGTGGCTACGTATTTAGCTTGAGTTAGCTTGGTTAGTCTTGAGTTGTATTGTTGAGGGACAGGTGGATTCGATCGTTATTGGACTTGTTAGTGATCTGGGGAGATCTATGAGTTGCTTTTTCTGTGCTGTGAGGCGTTATGATTTGTTGGTTATGGGCACACGTGGTGCAGATCTATTGGGGATTCATAGTGGAAGTCGAGCGGGAAGAGTAATCGGATGTTGCTCGGTAAATGGAGTGTGGGTTATGACCTATCAGGTGGCGTGTCATATGTTGTTTATTTCACCGTGGGTGCAATGAATTGCCTTGGTTTCAGATATCAAATTGTGTGTGGCTGTCGAATTTTGATCACAGTGTCACTACTAGATATTGGAGCTATGGCAACCCTTCGAAAACCGTTACAATAAATAGGCTAACCGTCCCTATAGGGCTAATGGGACGGATTTGGACGCGTTCCGGGGTTCAGTGTTACAATAGGTCTATTGGAACGGTTATTTGCAACGGTTTACAAACCGTCTCCATAGATAGGGTATTGGAACGGTTTGAACTGCTACCACTATTCTATCTACAGGAATGGTTTCCCTTTCATTTGGGCCGGTATAAACCGTCCTGGTAAAACAATACAGCTGATTTTTTTTTAAGTCTATTGCAAAGGTTGTTATGATATATTGCAACGGTTGTCATGATTTTGTTGCAACAATTAGCAGTACCCCTACTGCAACGGATATTATAACATATTGGAACGGTTATTATGGGCTGCTCTTATTATTTGTTAGGTCTATTGGAACGGTTATATTCTCTATTGCAACAAATTGTAATTTCTGATATTTATGGAAGCAAAATGAGAAATGGTTTCCTATGCTATGAAATTATTTACACCATATCCAATTAGCATTATCCATGTACAAAAACAAAATATGAATACATTGTTTGGTCAAACAATTCAAAAGTCAAAATAGATGAGTTTGCATACAAAAAGTTCTAAACTAAAATATCCTCAAACATAATAATAGAAAGTCTAACAACGATCAACAACACTCAAGTAAGGTCTTCGTCACTGCTTTCATCCGCAATCACTGCACCTACAAAACACAATGAGAAATAATTAAACAAAATTTTTAGGATAATTGAATCACAAAGTAATTAAATGACCAATTTGATAACTTGAAAATTTTCAAACTCCCTAAATTCTTAAATTTTTTGGCGGAGTTTCCTTTGTAAATATGACTATCCCAAAATTTTCAACCTGCTCAAAACATCATTTGTAAATACAACTCTGTGACAGAACACTTAATTTGCACATAACAATGAAGAACTCCCACTATCAGTCATGGAAATTGGAAACAGAACTACTGCTCAATGGTAATTTGCTTAGTTCAAACATCCCTGCAGAAACTAATATGGATGTTTTTCACTTCTCAATTTCTGAAGCAATGCAGAACCATTGAAAATTAGAACAACTACTATATGAACCATATGCAGAAACATGTAGAGGTAAATCCACGTACTCTCAAACCAATGAGGGGTAAAGGACAAATAAAACATCATGCCTTTTATTTTCTATGTCATACACTATCTATTCAAATGCTTTACCTACTCTTTTTCTTGCTTTGCACTCAAAATATGTTATATATATTGTGAACATAATTAATAAAAGTTGCCAACCAATTGCCTTGAAGAGAAGCAGAATTTGCTTCTATTAAGTAAAAGAGTAGGCTTCTCTCTGCATCTCATTGCCTGTTATATAAGTGAACTGAGTTTAAGAGAAGTTATCACCAATTGCCTTGGGAGAGAAGGGGAAACATCGATCATTAGCGATGATCAGCACAATGGGATTGCTGTAGAGTTGGGGTGGTTTAGGGACTAGCATTGCTAGTTTCATATTCATGTGGGATATGATCCGTCGATACTGTCCCCCCGAGCTCATTCGAGCATCAGATAAGTGGACAAGAAGAATCAGGAGCTTTTTCTACCCTTTTATTCAGATTCCATCAGTGAATTCATGAGCAACAATCAGTACTTTTTTTATTTTAAATAAGCAATATTAATACCTGGAATGAGTTGGCCTTCTTTGTTGCTATTAGTAGATGGACGACGGATTGGTTGCAAAGTTGTTTGTTGTGCAGAAGAAGCTTCTCCTGGAAAATTATCACCCAATGCTGCTAGAATAATGTTAGCATCAATATCAATTCCTGAACACTGAAGTCGTGCAAGGATATCTGCAACAACTTCTTGACGGATAGTTGCCTTTTGTTCCTCAATTTTTTTCTCCATTTTTTGTATCTTCTCCTCCATTTTTTGTAGATAATTTGTAGTATTTGAAAAGGATTCAAAACATCCTACTTTTCCTCTCAAAGAAGTTCTTGTAACCCCTCGTCCATATAATCTCAGACGTCCCGGATGTTCAGGCCCCATGACAGATGCAAATGCATCTACGGACTCATTGCCATTTTCGTTTTTTGTGCTTCAATTTCCTCCATTTCATCCTTCAAAGAATATTCAAACAAATAGAACAAGTAAATAAAAAGTAAACTAATAAAAATAAATAATTGATCTCGATATAACATCAGCTAAATATAATTCGCACAATTTTACTAGTTGTATCTTCATCCGAGCACTTGTATGATCGCCCATCTTTCCTTTTTCTTGTAGCTACAAAGAGTTCCTTTGCTGATAAAGGATCCGAAGTTTCCTTATCATTTTCCTAGTCACATGAAAGTGAGTTAGCATTCCTGGCGATCTACCATGTACTAAACAAGAGCAAAAATTGAGAAATTTTTTGCCATTATTTGCTAGTTACACACCAACTTAGAGCGAACTAAAGCAAAACTTCTTTTTCCAGCAGTGTGAGGATTCTTCAACTTTTTCCGGTTCTCAATATTAATTTGGGACATTCTCTGCAAGAAGAAAGAAACATCAAACAACAACTTACAAAATCACTAAGCAGATTCATGCAGTAGCTAAAAGAGGGCAGGAATTAGCTATTAGAAACAGTTTGCAACTTCCCAGAAGAGCCTTCGAGAGTTCAAAATCTAGGCTTGTAGCCAACAAATTTGCTAGTTAAACAGTTTGCAATTGCCCAGCAGATTCATGCAGTAGCACTTGTATGGTTGTTCTTTGCATTTGTATTGTTACGTTAGTTCTAGTGTTGAGCATCTAAATCATTTACATGTTGACCTGCTTGAATTTCAAGACTCTAAAGTAACAGTTAAAAATTCTAGTAGCATTGAGTCAAGGCATTATTTCTGTGATTATTTAACTACTATGAAAGGTTCGAACTGAAATTTATGATTTTCAGAATTAACTGATCAACATACAAGTGACATGAACAATAATCATTGGTCAGCAGATGAAAAAACATTAATGGCTTCAGAAGACATCTGCTAAGGATGTGAAAAAAGGGGGCCAAAGATGGCATTAAACGGAAAGTTCGAAAGTAAAGCAGAAGCTGTTAGTATTTCCTGCATTCTGGTCAACATAAGTGAAGACATAGTTCTCTTTAATTCGTCAATATTTTTGAGCAATTTCTCATTCTCAATATTGCCACTTCTTATTTCAACGTCTAAAACTGTGATTCACATCAAACTCCAATTCAGAACCAAAGGGTTTGAAATGAAACACCCATTGCTGTATCTTTTACCAAGCATACACAATTTAAACTGTGATTCGCTAACATAGAATTCCTAGATGTCACAACCTATTCCAGTGGATCTACTTCAATAGAAACCAGAACAAAGGTGATGTTTGGGCGCAAAAAAACCAGCAGCAGTTACACAGAGAAAGGAGGAGGAAACATCCCCAAGAACTTTAAGAAGAAGTTCAAGAAGAAGAAAAAGAACTTTAAGAAGAAGTTCCAGAAGAAGAAGACGAAGAAGTAGAAGTAGAAAGAAGTACACATACCTGGAGTTTCACTGAGTTCCAATACCTAAGGAGTTCCTTAAACTGAGAAGCTGGAATATCTTCAGGGATATTTTGCGATCGAGTTTCATCATTGTGATAGGCATCAAAATGATCTTTTATCAATCTACTCTTGTGCTTTTCCCATGCAGCTTGCACTGATTCCAAAGTATATTTTTTTCCAGCTTCAGGAATATCATATTTATCCAACAATTGATGTCAAATCTGTTAGTGCAGAAAATATGAAAGATTTTCAACCAAAAATTAAAACTTAAGAAGCTCAGACCTTGGTATATTCCCATATATCCTCTTTTGTGTCCATCTTCCTCCAATCCAAAATATCAAGAGGACATAGAGTCGCATTCCTTGCCAATGTGCCGAGGAAGCTTCCAAACTCTGTCACAACTGCGTCACTAGGACCAACGGCTTGATTTAAGTTGTTAAGTAAAATCAATTTACGCTCATGTCGTCCATGTACACTTTTCATCTTTGTTTTTCCTCTTTTTCTTGTTTGATTAGAAGGGCCTTCAACTATTCGAACCAAACAAAACCACCAAATCACTATTGTTTGTACATTTTTTATGACTGAAATAAGATGTAAATATTTTTAGATAAAGTCTATAGTTTCTTACCTTGTTCTTCATATTGTTCATCTTCAATAGGAGTTGTAGAATCCAACTGAACTTGTTCCTCTACTTGTTCCTCTATTACTTGTGTTGTAGGAGTGGTTGATCTTGTTTGTACATGGGCTGCTACTTCTGAATATTGTGGCACTAGCAGATTCTCTTCGATGATATTCAGACGCTCTTTGTTTGATTGTCTAGCAGGAACAACATATTTTGCAGAAGTGGTTGATCTAGTTTGTGCATGGGCTACTGCTCCTAGCAGATTCTCTACAATAATATTCGGCCGCTCTTTGTTTGATTGTCTAGCGAGAACAACATATTTTTGGCTAAACGAAGTCCTTATTTGGTTTGCCAAAGATGCCATTGTTTCAGGTTTTGTGTATGTCGCGCTTGTCTTTCTTTTGGGCTTTGAAGGTCTTTCTTGACTCATATCTATCAAATCTGATGAAGAATACAAATAAAAATAGCTTTATTAGGTATTATATAAATGACAACAGTAGAATTCCAAATAAAGTGCAGCTTTATATGATAAGTTAAGGATATGCATATAATAGTTTCAGAGTAAACTATGGCAATGCACTGCATATGATAGTTTCAGAGTAAACTATGGCCTCACATGGTAAGTTGGAAAAGATGCATATATGATGGTTTCCAAGTAATGGTTTCAGATTGCAAGACAAGGAAAAACCAAAGGAAAAAGTGAAAACAAAGGTCATATGCAAGAACAGAAATTAAAACAAAAGCAGTAGTGATGACAAAGAAAAATCAGTGAAAGAAGATAAAATAACAACAGCAACAAGCAGAATATATACAGCAACAACAAAGTGAAAGCAGGATATACTGGAAAGGTGAGTATCTCATTTACTTGTTGAGTCACACCATAATTTTTTTTCATAACTGTTGTTGGAAACCTAGAGGCTGAGATGATTTTCCGTTTAGGTGGTCATTGGAATGGATGTTGCTGCATCTGAATTCTTCTTGAAGGACAAAAGTTATGACCTTAACTTCAAAGAAGAGGCAAGTTCTTACTATTCCCTATAGGCAATTTGAAACTGAGTGTTGCATTGCTTTCTTTCACTCTCTGGTTTTTTTTTGGGAGGTAGTCATGTGATCAAACCGTTGCTATGTTATTGAGATTTGCTCATATTTATTCTTATTTGCAGAACAATGATGGCTCACAAAAGATATCAGGTGACCAACTCAAGGATTTGTACAAGACGTTTGTGTCCGAGTACCCTATTGTTTCAATTGAAGATCCATTTGACCAAGATGACTGGGAGACCTATGCTAAGCTCACTACTGAGATGGGGGAACAAGTACAAATTGTGGGAGATGACCTTCTTGTCACCAACCCTAAGGTAAGATTAAAGCGTTAACAACATTTGTCACTTGCTTGTCCATTGAAAGAAAATGTATACATCTCTCAGTTCTTGGCACCTCAGTAATTTTCTATAGGTTGTTTATCACCATGTATAACTATTTATTATACATGTGCAGAGGGTTGCCAAGGCAATTGCAGAGAAGACTTGCAATGCACTTCTCCTCAAGGTATTATCCAATCAGCTAATAAATCATATATTTCGGCCATGATACTTAAAGTTTCCTCTTTGACTTTGAGATTGGATTAACCATTTCTTACTCTATGTGCGACAGGTTAACCAAATTGGCAGTGTGACCGAGAGTATCGAAGCTGTGAAAATGTCTAAGCGGGCAAGTTGGGGTGTAATCACCAGTCACCGCAGGTAAATATAGGATGATCTCTAGAAATAACACTTGGAATAGAAAAGCTTGGAATGAAAACTAAGCTTGAACTATAACATATTAACTGCCAACCCAATACAGTAGCTAACTTAGCAGAAACAAGGAATATTGCAGCTCAAAAATTCAGAAATCTAATGCCCAAATACGAACTTCGTATCAGAAAAGACGCCAGCAGTTCACAAGATATTATCCACAGGATTCAATACTCCCTAGACAACTAAATGTCATCGGATTTAAGACATTGCTGCAGATTATCAATCGAGTCTAATTCAGTCTGTCACAGAAGCGATCTCACAGTAGAACAAGAAGGAAGTTCAGTTCAAGACTCAAAAAATCAGAAACTCAAAACCTTTCAAAACAGAACTTTCAACTGTTTTTCAACTGAATCCCAAGTAATCCAATGAATTTTCAACCGTTATCTAACAATTTTAGTTGATTCGACAAGTTTTGGACTCAGTTCCGATAGAGAAAATAAAACACATTATTCCCAGAAAGAACAAAAGAACGGTAGCAGCAACAACTACAGCAGATCAACAACAAAAAGCATCTCTCGAAGCTAGATTTACAGAAAGAACTAAGCACTGTTATTACTTCCAGCAAGAAATTAGGGGCTAGATTCATGGAAATTAGGCAAATGCAACAGGGCAGACAGTAACAACACAAAAAACTAACAGATAAAATGTGATCGATAACACGAAGAGTCAAGTAGCAACAAATAATAAGAAAGCCCTTAATGTAACACCATGCTCGTATAGTGCCGATAGTATAAAATGACAGACCATGTATTTTGGTACTCAAATCCTTCCCGTTAGTCAGATCAAAAATTCCAACTGAAAATACCTCAAAAAACCCTAAACAAAGTTTAACTTGTTTTTTCCAACTAACTATATAATTACAGTTTTACAAACTAGAAATCAAAAAATTTTCAGGTTTAGATGAAATCAAAAACTAGAAATCATATAATACAAACAAAGGACATAGTAAATTAATTGGTTTAGATGAAATTTTACCAGAGAAAGAAAGCAGAAGAAGCGGCGA